GAAAATTATGAATGACGTAACAACTCGGGCTGCTAGTGATGATCGATCGATAGACAGGAAAATTGCAATTAGGGAAGCTAAGTTCAGTGTTAACACAACAATTTATGCCTTAGCTCAATGCATTCCTCATATGTCTTCTAAAGATTGCATAAATTGCCTTCAAAATGCCATCAAAGTTTTAAACAAGTGTTGTGATGTATATAGAGGTGCTAGAGTTCAATTTCCTAGTTGTTTTATGAGGCATGAAGTGTACCTCTTCTACAATAACAAGGCACCTGCTTTGTCACATAATCAAGGTACATTTTACTACTCTCTCTCTTTCTCCCATTTTATATGATTTAGTTTGACTTGATACGGAGTTTAAAAAAGAAAAATAGACTTTTGAAACTTGCGGTCTAAAATAAGTGATAGATGTTTATCTGGCTATAAATCATTTCATTTGGTGTGAGGGATTAATAATAATAGTGATGGGATAAAAAAAAATTATCTTGTTTGGTTGCCATGTTTGGGATAACTTATCCCACCATTTATATCATTGTGATGGAATAAGTTATCCCATATACATGGTGGGATAAGTTATCCTAGGATAGCTAACCCCAGGATAACTTATCCTGGGATAACCTGTTCCCAACCAAACGAAGGTAAAATGGACATGTTAAAGTTAAATATTATTCAATATGAAAATGTCTCTTTATTCATTTTTTTGGGACTGACTAAAAAGAAAAGTGAGTTATATAAACTGAGACAAATTTATCGTAGATTTGTGTCACCACTAGTTTACGATAAGTTTTTACCCGACAAATATGTAAGCATGCTATCTTTTCTTTTATAATTGGGTATGTTGACACCCAATTTTGGACCTCCACAATATAAATTAATTAATGAGCTTCTTCAATTTCTAATGATTTAAAATAATTAGTTTTATAAAAATTTCAGAAATAAAATAAAATAAACATAATTTGCAAGTTATTTTAAATAGTTTTGTCACTTCTTATATATATATAATTAATGCATTTGATGAGTATTCAAAAATTATTTCGAAAAGATTTTATATTTTTAAATACTTTATCAACAAGGGTCATAATTTTGAATTAATAAATTTTATGAAATCCAAAATACTTACAAGTTATTTTTAGAGTAATATTATCATTTTAATAATTTTAATAATTTTAAATAATAAATATGTATATTTTTTACAATCACGTTATTTTATAAATATTTGAAAATCATCAAAAAGATTTTACAATTTTTAGTTAAATATTTTATTAGTTTAGGTTAAATTATGGTTATAATTTTGAGTAGTTAATTTATAATTAAGTTAATTATTTTATTTCGTTAAGATTAAGAAGCTTGTTAATTAATTAATATTAATTCATCTTATTTATATTTTAGTCGAATTCCCTAAATTAAATTCAATTTATCTAACTTCTTAATTCCCATAGGCCATAATTACAATTCATGTTGCCATTTTCTTAATATGATTCAAGGGAATTTTAACCTCACCTTAACTCAATTTGAGACCATCTTTTGGGCCAACATTTCAGCCAAATCCAAGCCCAAATTCCCTCAATTCAACCAATAGTTCCAAAGGCCCAAAGATGGGCTGACTTCTCCAGCACATCTCCCTTTTTCTTTTCTTTTGTTTTTCAGCAGTCTCCTTTGTTTCCCAATTCGCCCAGCCCATTCTTTTTCCCATACATTACAACATTTAGCGACAATTTTTAAAAAAAAAAAAAAGTTGAAGAAACCCAGAACATACAACAGTAGCCGACAGAGACCCGACCTTGCGTATCTTCTTCTTCTTCTTCACGCGAACGTCAAAATCTAGGGAGCAAATTGCGCTGCAAACTTGGAAATTTCACTCAACTGTTCTGCAAAATCCATAACTCTAGCAGCTTAATCGATCACATCGTTGTCCCTTTTTCCCATGTTCAAAGGTTTTCAAAATCTCTTCCACTGTTTGATTTTGAAAAAAAAAGGAAAGAAATTGAAAAGATTTTGAATGATTTCAATGGATTTCCCCCCCAAAATCGCCTTGATTTCCCCTATAAATAACCCTCTACACTCAAGTGAAAGGAGGGGTTTTTTTTTTTGAGCGATATACTTAAGAATTTCATATCTAGTTTTCTGAGTCTAAGTTCTGAGAAGATCAAAAAATGGTTTGGTTTCATATTAACTACTGCTTCAATTCAGTTTCTTTTGGCTAATACTATATGAGTAAGTTCCTTCACATGTCATTTGAATTCAATGCATTTGTTAGCTTTTACGTTTTTCTTCTTAAATTTGATTGCTCGTAGTTAGTTATTTTGATCCCTTCTAGGCTTCAGGTCGTTTACTGTTTGTTTTTAAGAGTGACTTGGTTTAGATATGAATATATGGTGGTTCGTTCATAAAGATTCATGGAGGTTTAAATTTCATTTGGTATATGATTAAGCCTCAATTTAGTACTTGTTTAGTTCTAACCCGTCTTAATTCATATTTTTGTGTATCAGTCATGGCTTTGCTGAAATTTAACCTTGTCGAATATAGTTCGCTTTAACATAAAATCGATCGGGCGCTTGTGTAATATATTTATCGTGGCTTGAGTACAACAGTTAAGTGTCATGTGGTGTTCGACTATTTTGGGTTTCATTAAGTCAGTAACTTTCCAATAAAATTGACTTTGTTAAGATAATTGTGTTTTTTCTTGTTCTACAAATCATTTTTTATCTTTAAAAGACTAGGTTGATAGATTACAATAAAAGTTCTCACAATGGTGTATCCGTTTTATTTTTGTATTTTATTTATTTGTAACAACAATCCTAGAGTTAATAGCTAAACCTGCATTTAATTTGTTTTACTGGAAAATTACGTCTATGGTTTCTTTTTTGTTCAAATCTTTACCCACTTTCCTTGTTTTACATAAATGGTTAAGAAATTATGATAATGTTATTGTAATAATCAAGTTCCTTGGTTTGATGGTGGTATGTGTTCTTTTCTTTTACTAAAATTTTAGAATTGTACAAGTGCTTTGTTTACCATGATAATTTGGGTGCTTAGTTTGTTTTGATTTGTTCTAAACTAGTGCTCCCCTCCTAAGAGATTGGTCTCCTATGATTGACCTAAATGTAGCTCTTTGTCATATAATCTATAATTTGTTAGCTGCCCAGTTCCTTTATAATCCATTAGTTATGATAGCTTTGGTTTGCCGTGATTTGTATTCCCTTTAACTATCTTATGTGCTTCTTTAGTCAAACTGATTGTTTAGTTAGTCATGCCTACTGTTTAATGGTTCATTTAATGAATAAATTCTTTTTTCCTAATCCTTGTTGTCCTTTCTCTTTGGATGAACTCTATTTCGGGATGAGTCCAATATGGCTTTGTTTTCCTTGCGTTATTTCATTGGATCAAATCCAACAATACCCATACTTGAGTTAGCCCCATCAATGTCCGAAGAAATTGAAAGTTGAAACAGGTCTCGGAAAGCGAATAAAAGGGCTGTATACATTAGATATACACTGGTATACAACAACTGTATATCAAAAAGGGGATTGGGTTAAGGCCCAAAAACTTGTAGCGAAATTGGCCCAAGAAGGGGCCCAATTTCATTATCTCTTTTATTCTCCTAATTGTTTTGGTTATGACTAATTTTATTTAACTTCATAACTCTAGAACTATTAATTAACTTACTTGGATCCCCAAAAGATGAGTTATTTTCTTTATGTTGGTCTACTTTTAATACATTTTTCTTGTGTTCATTTATTTTATCAATCAAGTATATTGATCAAAATTTTTTAACTTCAATTAAATTAAATCTTTTGTTCTTGAAAAGATATGTTTTAATGCCTCTTCATTTAATCATTTTATTTACTTTAAAAATGATTAAGCTAAAGCTCTTTCTCAAATGAACTAAAAAATATTCTCTTTTTTTATTTTTTATTTACTTTCCTCCAAAAGTTAGTCAAAGCTTTTATGTATCAATTGATTTAAAATAGTCTCATGCTTAAATTTATGAATTTGGTTTAAATTATTATTTCAAAATGAATTAAGTAAATTTTAATCAATCTAGTTTTATCAAAACTCTAATCATTTTTATTACCAGTTGAATGTTTCATTTTGGATTCTTTTCTCTTAAGAAATAGAAAAAAAATAAAAATAACATAAAACAAAAATGTGACATATCAAATATTATAAGTTATTATTTTTTTTATGTTAAATCATTATTTTCCTAAAAATAGTCAAATATATTTTAGTCAAGTCGTAGGTCAACCACATGTTAGCGGGCACTTCGAACGCTTAAACCCTTCTCGAAGTGTAAATTGAACCCCGAACCCCCTTTGGTATTTTCAAATGATTTTTTCTGTTTAAATCTTTGAAAATTATAAGTTTTCTTAATTTCTTTAAAAAATTAAGTGGCGACTCTTTTCTAAGTATTTTCTCAAATTGTTTTATACTTAGAACATTCAAAAAGTGATTTTTCTAGAGATAGTAAAATTACGGCATAACAGGGTAAATGACAAAATGAAAAGAATTCAAAAAGATTTTGAGTGTGTTCTTATCTCAACTCTTAAATTAAATATAATTATTATATTTGGTATAAGTCGACAATCGACATTGTGCTATTATGGATTTGTGTCCCATTAATATTGACCCAAAAAAAAGTATTTACCTAAAAAAGGTATACGTAACATTCTATTAATTAATATAATAATATTCTTCATCTCTATTCCAACCATATGTCTCTTTTATATCAATATAATAATGAATGAATTCAGATGAACCCGTATTTATTATCCGATCCCAGATAACAATAAGATGGTTGGAAATATCACATCAAAAATTAAATAGAAAGCATTAATAGAATGAATTCAAATTCCTGAATGGCGTAGTCACAGTTGAACATCCTTTGACAAAAAATTATATGAAATAACTAGAAAATTATTTTTCATATGTATATACTAAATCTTAAACATCATTAACGAATTTTCTGACTTCGCCAGGGCACGACGGAATCCCAAAAAAAGAACTACTAATTATTTGTGTAGTGGTTGCCATTGTAATTTTTTTTTTTCTACTATCAATTGGAGTCTTTCATTTGCTACAAAGGAGAAGAAGGATGAAAAGAAATAATAAAACTCTTAAGGAGATGAATGGTAATTAATTCAATCCCAATTATTTAATACAATCCAAGTCCATTTATTTCTTAATTAACTAAATTTTTTTAATTAATTATTTATATGTGTTGCAGTTGATCTTAGTGGAATTTTAACAGCTGAATCATTGCAATATGACTTTAGTACAATTGAATTTGCCACTAACTACTTTTCTAAGGAAAACAAAATTGGTGTAGGTGGATTTGGTGATGTGTATAAGGTAACATGTTCATATTAGACCATATAATATTTTTTTAGATATAAGTTATATATACTGATAATGTAATTTTTTTTTACATGATCATAAGGGGGAACTTGATCATGGACAAGAGATAGCTGTAAAGAGGCTATCAAGAAGGTCAAGTCAAGGTGTTGAAGAATTTAAGAATGAAGTTGTACTTGTCACTAAGCTTCAACATAGAAATTTAGTAAGACTCTTAGGTTTTTGCTTGGAAGGAGAAGAAAAAATACTCATCTACGAGTTTGTGTCCAACAAAAGCCTCGACTATTTCTTATTTGGTACGCTTGTTTATACGTCTCACTTTTCTTTTTAATTAGATTATTATATAGAGCATTTCTCTAATTTCAATATCTCACGTGATATGATTAAGATACGAAGAAACAAGCAACGTTGGATTGGTCAGTACGTGACAAAATTATTAAAGGAATAGTACGAGGATTAGTTTATCTTCATGAAGATTCTCGTCCTCGAATCATACATCGTGATCTCAAAGCAAGTAATATTTTGTTAGACAAAGATATGAACCCTAAAATTTCAGATTTTGGCATGGCTAGAATATTTGGAGTTGACCAAATTGAAGGAAGCACTAACATAATTGTTGGAACATAGTAAGTGTTGGTTTTTCTAAATAAAAACTTTTTTTTTGTGAATCGATTCATTATAGTATAGAAAAATGTTAATTATTGTGATTTATTGTTCTTTTGTTAGCGGCTACATGTCCCCGGAGTATGCAATGCATGGTCAATTCTCAGTGAAATCAGATGTTTTTAGTTTTGGTGTGCTTCTTTTGGAGATAACAAGTGGAAAAAGAAGAAATAATAAAGAAGATAAATTTGATGACCTTCTTATCCATGTAAGTGCAAGTTAATTTAATTAACAAAATACAATATATTTATCCTAATTAATTAGCATGATTATAATTAATTATGTTGATATTTATAGGCATGGAAGTTGTGGAAAGATAATAGAGCAATGGAAATTGTTGATCCAACTCTTATTGGTGACTCAAATTCAATGTCGAAAATTATGAGATGTATACATATTGGATTGTTATGTGTTCAAATTGATATGGATGGAAGACCTACAACTACTTTGATATCTCATATTCTCGGTACTAATTCTGCTATTCTACCAGAGCCAAATCAACCAGCGTCTTTTAAGGATTATTCTAGATTAGGAAATATCGATCAACTCACAAGTAATTCCATTCCGTCATCTAGTTTTGAGGAATTAATTACGGAAATCTACCCAAGATAGTATTGTATACCAAAGGTCACCACATATATATAGAGACTTAATTAGATTGTCACAAAAAGTATTTCTTGTAGTTATAAAAAAATATACTTTTCGATGTGTTTTATTTAATTCTTCTGTTGGATTTATGTTTTCTACAGACAATAATAAGATATCAGTGTATCAAGTTGTCATGTTTAATAGTTCTAGCTATCTTATTTAAACAAAAGATTATTTGATAATTTTAGCAAACAAATAATGTAAAATTAGTTAGTTATAACGTAAGAATGAACAAATTGATTCGTTCGATCAAATTAAAGCATTATATGTCTATCATGATTAGAAATCGGATCGTGACAAAAATATTATGGCTATATATCAAATGAAAACATACATAAATCCAAATTGAAAAGCAATCTCTTATCAATAAGCAATAGGAATTTTTTTTTTGTTACCAAAGACTTTCTATGGTGATTTAAGAGTCGAGAATAGACTTCAGTGTTTGAATCTTTGAAAACCAACAATGAAATGTTCGTGAGTTCATTCATATTTTCTTTTTTAGAATAACCCTTAAAAGATGTTGGTCGACTTTGTTGGGTATGAATTGTACTGAGTTTCTTACCATAAATAGGTTTTTCTTTTAGGAAAAGGTTTAAGAGTGGCTAGTCCTTTTCTTGTAGGAAAAATGTTTAGGACTCTATAAATAGAGGTTTGTTCCTTTTAACTTAATTGATCAGCATTCACATAGTAGTCCTAGGGGTTTAAGAATTTTGGTTAGGGAGAGAATTTGTGGGACACAAGTGATGTGTTAACCTACAATTAAGAAAAAATGACATTTTTAACCTACAATTAAGAAAAGTTGACAAAAATAAACAACCATCAATATTATTATTTTGTACATAACGTATAACATATAATTTTGATACATAGAAGTATATTTTTTTTATATATGGCTAGAGCATATAATTACTTTTGTCAACCGATCAAATATATACCTCATAAGGGCTGGGGACCCAACATGTGTGTTAGGAATTTTAAGCCCTTTACTAGTTTTTATATATATAATTTAAATTCTTCGTTGACAGGCAATTCTTAATTAAGTTTAAAAATCAGTGATTGACAAAGCACCCTAGCTAGCTCTTAGAAACTTCCTTATTGCCTTGTGTCCATAACACCGGCCAATAATTTGCACCTAGGACTCTCCCTTTTTTTCTCGAACTAGTGTCACCATCAATTACTATTTAAATTTTGACCTCGTTTAAAAAACTTCTTAAAATATTTTGGGTATTTAGCGAGTTGGGGGAGCAGTATGTGAAGTCTCATCATATTTTGTACATTATTTGGGTATTTAGGAGTCATTTTTATTGAAATTAGGTTATTTTTTCAGTTTTTCGCATGTGTTAATCCATAAATATTTTGGTGATATAGCTTTTAGACGATTTTTTTTGCAAAATCTTTACGGAACCCTCTATAGGAGTTGGGGTAGCATAACGTGAAACCTCACCTTTTTTGCACATATTTTTGACATTTAGTAGCCATATTTACAAGAATTGAGCGATATTCTCAATTTTTTGTGTGTTAGTCCATGAATATTTTAATGATATGGCTTCATGATGATTTTTTTGTAAAACCTTTATGGAACCCTCCATAGGGAGTTGGGGAACAGTACGTGAAGTCTCACCATTTTTTGTACATATTTTGGGCATTTAGGAGACATTTTACAGGAATTAGGCGATTTTCTCAGTTTTTCATGTGTGTTAGCCCATGAATATTTTGATGATATGTCTTCTGGACAATTTTTTTTTTGCAAACCCTTTACGGAACCCTCTGTAAAGAGTTGGGGTAACAGGATGTGAAGCTTCGCCATTTTTTTGCACATATTTTTGGCATTTAGTAGCCATTTTACATGAATTATGCGATTTTCTCAATTTTTTGTGTGTGTTATTCCACGAATATTTTGGTGATATGGCTTCCTGACGATTATTTTTTTTTGCAAAACCTTGCAGAACCCTTTGTAGGGAGATGGGGAGCATTACGTGAAGCCTCACTATTTATTACATGTATTTGGGGCATTCAAGAGCCATTTATAGAAATTAGGTGATTTCTCAGTTTTTTGTATTTGTTAGGTCATGAATATTTTTGTGATATGACTTACGGACGATTTTTTGCAAAATATCTACAGAATCCTCCATAGAGAATTGAGGGAGTAGAATTTGAAACCTCACTATTTTTTGCGCACATTTGAGTATTAATAATTATTTTATAGGAATTAGGCGATTTTTGCCCCTTTCGTTAGCTAATAAGTTGAAGGTAAGGTGGCCATTTTTGTAGAATCGATATATCCATATTACATATGCATATGGCATAAAAATACACTTAAGTTGTAGTAAATTTGTCAATTACACCCCACCCCCCCCCCCCCCCTTAAACTATAGTGGAATATTACTCAGAATTTTTATTTTGTACTTCATCATAGTTTGATATTTGAGGGATAATGAGATCTGATCGATTTTGATACATTTATCGAGAGTAAATTAAATAAGATATTTTAACATATTTTTGGTCTAGTTTAAGTGTGTGTATGCACATGATATATTTTAACGTATTTTCTTTATCAAAGTGAAGGATAAATAACATACGTAAAAAAAAGAAGTTTAGGGATGATAGAATCCTTCCATAGTATAGGGTGGTATATAATATGAAAAAAATGAATTCTAAAGTAAAACTCTCGCATAATTTAAATTTATAATTGACTAATTAATTAAAACGAAAGGTATATATTGCATCTTGAAATATATAGTGATTGGATAATGTGAAAAGGGAAGTGCTAGCTAGCTAGAAATTTGTGTCCCAAAAGCCTCTTTTAGAAATGTACAACATTTTATGCCTATGTTAAGTGGTAAACGAACATTTAGCATCCTAGTGGTTGTCAAGTATATTTTCAAGCCCGTTAAAAATAAAGGCATTTTAAAGTCAATACGTTGATGTCAGGTATTTTAAAGCCAAAAGGCCAATGAGAGGTATTTTAAAACTGAATTTGATAATTTAAAAATATTTTAGGCCATTTTTCATACAAAATAAATTAATTTTTAAAAATTTGACCAAATAGACTATAAATAAATGAAAGGTTACTCAGGTGTAAGCATATTTTTTTTTCAGAGAACTAAAGAGTGCACCTTATGACTTTTCCCTAGCAAATGAGTATACTACTTACTACTTAGCAGTATCAATGTGATAATTGCTCTTATTGAAAATCACCCAAATTTGTTTGTTTAATTATAGTATTCTAAACTGTCTTAATCACCAAACTATCATTGATGAATACTAGGAAAAAAACTGTATTTTTCATGATAAGTAGTTTCAATTAATTGTCATAATTCGATTTTGATTAAGAGTACTTTTGGATTGGTAAATATTTATTTGTATTTGTTGTTCACTTCAAATCGTGTAAATATACCAAATTTTAGATTATTTTCTATTCTAATTTCCCAAAGAAAGCACTTCTCTATCTCAAAATACTTGTCGTTTTAACTTTTAACTAAGTCATATTTCATACCTTGCTGGATCATGTGATATATACAAATATGTATCCCTTAAATTTTCATATTCATAAATTTATGTGAGGGCTCATGCTCATAAGTTTGTAGTTCTAGTATCATAATTTGCAATCATTATGTCATTGTTCATAATCAATAATAACATGTCATAGTGTTATAATGTTTATATTCTTAAGTAGGTTTCATGGTTCAAAATCATAAGGTTCTTATCAAGAAGAAACACTCCCTTTTCATGTTGTTTGCAATTTCATAGAAGTTTGTGAGAAGGAATTAACTAGGTGAAACATTACGGTTATACAGTATCATATTATATTATTTTAATGAATATAATATTTGAATTGAATATATCATTTCTTATTATTACATATATAATGTTACATATTAATAATTTGAAATATAAACTTACAAGCAAAATAGAGTACGAGATAGAGCTATTATAAAAAGGTAGGATAAAATAATAAGATTATCAAATAATAAGCAAAAAAAATGAGAAGAAAAAAAAAGTAATGATACAATTATCATATTAAATCGGTCATTATACAAAACTAGACTTTCAATAGTTATTCAACGCTGAATTTAATGATACGATACATTAAAATTTTTAAATTACAAATTAACATAAATATTGTATTCAAACTAATAACTCAGCACATAACAATAGATAACAATCATTTAAACAAGCTGTCAAAAAACGTGTAAATGAGAAATACGACAAATATTTTAAAGCTGCTAAGAAACGTGTAATAGAGAAACACGACAAATATATGAAACAGAAGAAGTGCCACCCCTCAATCTCTCTCCACCTTAAGTCCCTATAAAAGGGCACTATTACTCTTCACAGTCTTTCATTACATTCTTATTTATTTCCATTTTTTCCCTTTTATTTCTATTAAAAATTCATCATTTTGATTTGAAAAATTTCCCCTTTATACCATGAAATTTACATTCATTTCTCTTTATTTGCATTGTCTTTTTTAAACTAGAAAATTTTACTTACATTAAATACATTTATATTCACAAGGGGACTTATTTTTTAGTATACAAAAATACAATCTTTAAGGCATTTTCAATGGCACCAACTATGGATTTTGTAATTTCTGGCCTTTTTTGTGCTGAATATAACAAAAGCATGCTCGAAAATGTGTATGATGATATTCATACATTGTTTCATGGGGATCATCAAAACAATCAGCAAACTATGCCATTTCAGAGTGATGATTGTGTGGCTTTGATGATTAAAAAAGAATGTGAATATATGTGTTGTGATGATTATCTTGAAAAGTTGAAAAATGGGGAATTTGATTTGGGGGAAAGAGAGCAAATTCTTGATTGGATTTGCCAGGTTGGTTGGTTATAATTTAGATTCTTGATGTGATTAGTGGAAATTTTCTTGATTAGTACTTGTTAATCAATTTAATGTTAAGTAGATTTCACTTTAAAGTTTGATGGATTGTGATTAGTCCGAGGCGGAACCTGAATTTTTTGTTTATGAATTTTAAATCACAAATCATTTTTGTTTATGGAGTTTTGTCGAATCTGTTAACTTTAAGGCTGGCTTCTCCCGTGTGAATAATGAATCAACTTTTCAAATTACAGGGTACTTCTATTGATATAGTCAGAGGAACCTGAATTTTTACTTTATGAATTTTGAATCACAAATCATTTTTGTTTACTGAGTTTTGTTGAACTCAATAACTTTTAGGCTGGCTTCGTTCATGTGAATAGTGAATCAACTTTTTCGATTACAGGGTACTTTCATTGATATAATCATAGGCAAAATCTGAATTTTTATTTTATGAATTTTAAATCATAAATATTTTTTGTTTATTGAATTTTGTCGAACTCGATAAATTTTAGGTTGGTTCCGTCTGTGTGAATAGTGAATCAACTTTTTCAATTACACGTTACTTTCATGAATAGGCAGAGTCAGAACTTTTTGTTTACTAGTACTGAATCACAATCATTTTCATTAATTGGTTCTTGCGAACTCATAACTTTAAGGTTAGCTCCGCCCCGTAAATAGTAAATCTAACTTTAAATTACAAGGTAACTTCATTTCTTGTTTCAAAAAGGGATGCTGTGTATTGTTGTGTGTGTGGTGGGGGGGAAAAGGGGGGAGGGGGGGGGGGGGTTATATGATGATATAATTCTTGGATTTTACTTTATATTGGAAAATCTTTTTATTTGAGTTGGTAGGATCTTTTTTGTTTTTTTTCATATAAATTTTGTACCTTGAATGTATTTTTATCTTTTTCCTACTTTATTAAATTTTTAGGTGTCTTTGACTGAGTTTTTTACGTTTATTCTTGTCTTGTTCTACTTGTGAAACATAGATTTTTACAATCTAATTTGTAATTAATGTTTAATTAAGTATTGATCAATGCTAATTGTGGCTTTATTATTTGTATGCAGGTTCATTCACATTTCAAATTTGGACCATTGTGTCTATATTTGTCTGTGAACTATCTTGATAGATTTCTTTCTGTCTTTGAGTTACCTGTAAGTTAATTGATCATCAAATTTATTAATTATAACTTCATATGATCATCAAGTTTTTTTAATTGTAGTTTCATTTTAATCATCAAGTTTTATTAATTTTAATATGATTTGCTTGTTTTATAGGAGGAAAGAGCATGGACAATGCAATTGTTGGCTATAGCATGTGTGTCTATTGCTGCTAAATTGGAAGAGGTTGAAGTTCCTCTATCTGAAGATTTACAGGTAAATATATACCCTCCGTTTTAATTTACATGTCTTAATTTGACTAAGCACGAAATTTAAAAAAAAATAGTCAAAAAAAAATTATTCTTAAGATATTAAATTAAAGATGTGTGTAACGTATCAAAATATTATTAAATCTTGTGATTTTAGATATATCACATGAGACTTTGTTCTGATTTATATTATGGTCTAAAATAAGTCAGATATTTTCTAACTATAAACTGTTCCCAATATAGAAGTATATCATTCTTTTGGATTATCTAAAAAGGAAAGAGTATTATATTGTGTGACGTTCTTTTTTTAAACAGACTAAAAGAAATAGTAACACACATAAATTGTCTATAGAAGGGTCATTTTATTTAATTTTTGGGTACTTGTCTAATAATTGTTAATAAATTTGTAATGATTATTGACAGATTGAGGGAACACAATTTGAGTTTGAAGCAAGCACCATACAAAGAATGGAGCTTCTTGTGTTGAAAACATTGAATTGGAGAATGCATGCAATTACACCATTCTCATTCATTGATTATTTCATTAAGAAGATTAATGGTGATCAAATTGCTTCAACATCTACAATGTTTAAAGCTACTAATCTCATAATAGGAACATTGAAAGGTAACATTTTCATCTTGCAAAATTTTGACTATAGAAAAATGAAAATGAAATATGTAATTTAAATTTTATGAGGGTGAAAATTTAATGTAGGGATTCACTTCTTGGAATTCAAACCTTCTGAGATTGCAGCAGCTGTGGCAATCTATGTTGTGGTGAAAAATAAGACAAGTGGCATTGAGAAAGCAATATCTACCCTGATTCAACAAGTACAAAAGGTAAATCTTGAATTCACTTCTTGGAATTCAAAATTTATGTTGATGATCATTGTTTTCGCGACTATATCCTTCATTTTCAAGCTTTATATTTATCGTGCTTTTTTTCATTTGAGCGTCTATTCATTCTTTTTTGGTGTGTATAAAGTCACGGAGCGATTCATACATCTATCTTATTGTATTGACGCAATTGGAAGATCAGGATTTCTCCCTGTCGCTCAAGGTGGAATGTAATATCTTGACCGACGAGCTTCAATATGAGCTTCGAGAAAAGCATGCAAAGCACACTAACCTAACATCAAATTAGATGAAACTACTATATACATATACATAGATTATATATTAATTATATACACATATTATCGTATGTTGGTTATTTTATTTTAAGCGATTGAGTGTGCTGCTATTTAGATTAATTTTTTTTAAAAAAAAAAAAAACATATATAGTAGTACTTTTGATTATTTACTATTACTTTTCAATCTTATGTCTTTCATCTTGATTAACTTTACATTTAATCCAAAATGTTAAAAGATTTCTTCTTTGTCTTTGTGACTATTTTGTAGGATAAAGTAAAGAAGTGTGTTGATTTGATCAAAGAATCATCTTTGCTAAGTGATTTTGGTGCCTCAACTCTCATGGTTCCTCCAAGTCCAACAGGTGTATGGGATGTTGCAAGTTCAAGTGACATGAGTGATGATGATTCAGGTCCAAGTTCCCTAGATGATGAACTAGTACTAAAAGGAAAAAGATGGATGAAATGAATGAGTGAAAGCATATGCTTGGTGTTCAGAATAGCTTGCGCGCAATTCAAGTCAAGTACTTCATGGGAGAACATTAGACTTCTTCATACCTAGAAAAAAAAAAAAAAAAAACTCTAAATAAAATTGTTCTTGCTTTTAAGTTTTAGAAAGGTAAATTTTGTTTTATGTTTGGGGCTATATTAAACAGTAAGGGCCAAAATAGGAAGGAAAAAGTTGAGATTTGTGCTTCATTTTGAGCTATTAACAATCAATTCATCACTTATTGTTTGAGGACTTAAGTTTTGTCTTTTGCGAAGACTAGTCGTGTTGTGCACAAGCTCGATATATATTCATAACTTTAATTTTTTAAAATCGTATTAGTTAAATAATTTTATAATTTATAATCTAAAATAAATTATATATTTGTGTAATAATAAATTATCTCATTAGTTGTAAAATGAATAACCAATAAATATTGGAAAAATTACTTAATTAGACAAGCATTCCTATCATAGTTTGAAATAATTACATATTGTCTCACTAATGAGTACTTTCATATCATATTTCAAGTCAGATGCACCTAAATACATGTGTTTTTGCTACCAAATACACTAAAATGGGGAGAGAGGCGGGCTAGATAGGAAGGAGGTGAGCAAGATGGTATATGTATCCTAGACATATGTGAATCATACAAGATACATATATCTGGGATGCCAAAAATAGGGAGAGAGGCAAGCGAGAGTGGAGAGTGGCGAGGAGAGAGTCAGATACATGTGAATTCACTTAGATATAGTATATCTACAACAAATTATACATAATTTTGACCTCATATATTCGAGATGCATGTATCTGAACATATTTGAATACTAGATACATATATCTGAAGTCTAAGCTGGTGAAATTCGATAAGTTACCCGTAAATATTGTTAAGAACAACGGCAATATTTATAATCCATGCAAATTTATTAAAATAAAAAATTGTTCTGCCCTTTGTTTCACTGAATTGGAAAAGCATATTAAAGATTGTATAATTTATCTCCTCTACTTAAAGATTAGTATAAATACATAAAGAACATTGTTAATCCATTTTGTATCTTTTAATTCTACAACAATTGAAATGCTAGTAGAAGTTTGTTACACGTACCTCTTTCTCAGCTAATTAATATTAATGATTTTTGTGCTCATAAGGGGAATCCAATTTGAAATTTATGAGTTCAAAATATTAGTCCATTTCAATTACTGGGTTATAATTAACAATTTATACATATTTTGAAAGATTTTTTTTTAAGACAAATATATATTTTATATCAAAACTATTGAATTTTACCAAATTCACTTCCTACACTCTAGCGCAGCTCGGCTCTTAAGTGTGCTTTTAGGTTCGATATGGCAAAGTACAAGGGTGGAGCTACGGTGGCAACATTTGAACCCCTTCATAATCAATCAGCCATTAAAGTTTCAAAACTTGTTTGATTAAAAATTTGGCATACCGCAAATGTAAATCATTTTGAGAGAATTATATATCAAAAGACTTGAAACATCAAGAGGATTTCATATCTAAAATTTGAGACTGTTTAAAGGTAATTTTAAGTTGATCCATATTTAATAGTCAATATTCACTTCATGTATAGTTAAGTTATAATATTCAACTCTTTGAGTGTATCATAATGTATAGTCAGTGTATAGGTAAGTTGTATTGTCAGTGTATACTTTCTATAACTTTGATAAGCTATATTGTATAGTTAGTGTATATTTTCAATGACATTTGACCTTTTTTTTTATGTAAATAAAAATATAGCTATATTTATTATAAACTAATTACTTTATTATGTATATTTGAAACGATCTTTATTAAATACCTGACAAATTAAGTAGCATTGTTGATATATACCATTGGGTAGGAAAATGAATGATGATAATTTATCATGGCCCATTCTATAATTTAAACTCAAGAAGCATATTGATAGTACTTGTTCTACAGGCCAGACCAGTTGTTCAAAACAAGGTTTGGGCCATAAATATACATATTGTTTGGTCCAAAGAACATTTCCATATCTTTGATATACAAATAGATATCTTTAACCAACAAGAAGGGATGGGCAAAAGGCAATAAGGTGAAGAGTTAACCGCATAGAGCGGTTAAGTCACTCAACTAATGAAAATTATGTAGCATAAGTCATTTTATCTTTGTGTGAAGCCTCACTTTCGATCAAGACATGAATGTGCATCCCTAGCTCTAGCGCTCTCTCTCTCTCTCTCTCTCTCTCTATATATATATATATATATATATATTTGTCGATGACTTTTTTTCTATGGAAAAGTAACAAAGGAAATATAGTATTAGGAATTGAGTTTAATGGGTTAGATGGATAGGTATAATATTAGGTTGGGTATAATAGTTATAGTGAAGAGCAAATTTTAATAGTGATAAAAATAAATTCATGTCGGTGTCACGTAAGACAACTGGACTGAAGACATATTACTTAACAGTTCAAAAGCAAATATGAGCCCTAAATTTGACGATAAGGGAAAGTACATCAAAAAAGAATGATAAGAAATAAATATAACCCTTTTTTAGAGTACAGAAGCAAATATGACCCTTTTCAATATTATATAGTAAAGTTAACTTTTTTAATTTTTGTATAAGAAAGTCAATTTGTATAGTCTTTACACACAAAAAGAAAACTATTCTGATCGGTTTTATGAATTTTCCTATATCCAACTTCTAATTTGACATTTATATTAGTCCACCACTTTATTAATCCAAGCACAAAATTGCCTTATCCCATTAAAAAAACTACGATACTAGAAGTTCAGATACGATTCAATGAACTCAGCAACTTTGATTCAAATAAATATCAAAATTTTGAGTCCGACTCTGTTGGCAACATCATTTTAGTGATGTAAAGGGTTGACGTTTAATTTGGTTCAATAATCGAAGGGCATGCGAAGGAGATCTCTCTGTGTTTGAGATTTGCACACTTACTCACCTATTGCTATCTATCATTGGAATTTGGAAAAAGTGGAGTACAAAGAATTGACCCTTAAACAAGCTCTCTTGCTTTGAACAAATAGAAAAAATATCAAGTTCATGTATTAATTTTCGTATAAATTATTACAACGTTTGGTAGTTAATTATGATGTAAATGATTTAGTCGTTCGGACAAGCTTTGAATTTTGGTCATGGTTCAAAATTGAATTGAATCGAACGATACGCCTAAATTGTGATGTTCTTTTTCATGTTTCTATATTTTGTCCTCCATATTATCAAATTATAAAAAAAAAAAATATTAAACTTGACCGCATCACTTACGTTTTTATTTACATTTAATATAAATAGTGAAAATAGGAAACAAAAATAAAATAAACACAACAACAAAACGATTGAAGAAAGAATATTTTTTATAAAAAAAATGCATCGTTTTCTTTTTAAAGGAAGGCTTATGTAGCATGAGCCTTACAACCTACCATTTAACGTCGTCTGACGTATACCCCTTCATCTAAATATTGTCATTTTAATTTCATACTCAATTTTATTGCCTTCTTAATACTTTACTCCTTTTTTTTTTTACCCTTTTAACTCTGAACTCTTAAAAAATCATGTTTGCTCAACACAAAAGCAGCAATATTAGAGGAAGAAACAAAACCCAAAGGACCAAATTAACAAAATACACAGTGGATAAAATAAATATATTTAGTAGTATAATATAAATATATAAAATATAAAAAAGTAATGTTGAGGTGGGTGTAAAAAAAAAAAAAAAAAAAAAATAAAGCACGCTCTCCACCAGTGACGGCGCGATCGAAGCTATTTTTCCGGAACAGCCGCTGTGTTGATTGACTGACTCACTACTTTTAACTTTCACATGCCAAACCCTTCTCATGCCTCCATCTCTTCTGATTAAATTTCTCCGTCTATTTTTACTTGTTTAAAAATAATATTAATTAAAAATAAGTGTATGTTAAAAAATTAATTACATATTTAATCATCTTTTTATTTTATTGGCGAGAGATTAAGAAAAAAAGACTTACTAAACACATGATTTCTTAAAAAGCAAATGTGATATGTAAAAGTGCCTCGGGTATTATTTGTCACACTCGTTAAGAAAATAATAAATATTTTTTCTGTCTCAATTTATATGACTTACTTCTTTTTTTTTAATCAGTCTCAAAAAAATGACACATTTCTATATTAAATAGCAATTTAACATTAAGATATTCATTATACTCTCAATAAAGTGATTTATAATCAGAGAAATATTTATCACCAGCGGTCAGCAGAGCGTGTCTGTCGTATCCTCCTAAATATTTAGTGGTAGCATGCGTGCAATCCCCAAAACGAAAGGGGCAATAAACAATGGTTTGACCTTCTATTTTTTACCTCATCACTTTCTAACTATTTAAGATATTAATTGGTCAATATTAGTAGTACTTAATTTTATTTAGATACTTTAATAAGGAAAGTTTGCAGATACTCATTAAAATAAATTTAATTAGCTTTTATAGCTATAGTTTGTTAATTATAATTCGTAACTACATATTAGAGGTAGGAGAGAGGCGAGCGAGATTGGGAGAAGGAGGAGAGAGGCAAGCGAGAGAGTTGAGAGAGGCGAATTGTATTTATATATCTATTGAATTGTATATGTATATAGATAATTGTATATATGTAACGTATATACATATGTATTAGTATATCTGGCAAGCGAGATTGGGAGAAGGAGAAGAGGCGAGCGAGAGAGTGGATAGGAGCGAATTGTATTTATATATCTATTGAATTGTATATGTATATCTGTTAGATAATTGTATATATGTAACTGATATACATATGAATTAGTATATCGGGCGAGTGAGATTGGGAGAGGGAAGAGAGAGGTGAGTGAGAGAGGGCAGACGGTGGAGAGAGACAAATTGTATTTCTATATTGGTCGTATAATTGTATACGTATATGTATAATTTGTATTTGTATATCTATAAGTGAGGAGAGAGGCGAG